GGGAAGTGAAATCAGATGGTTAGACTTTTCCCCATTTAGTCCCCTGGACACCTGGATGTGCAGAGATGCATTTTATATATTTTCCTGGAAGACAGTCCTGCAGGACCAGGCAACCAGTCATACCTTGGGGGAGCCAACTTGATAAAGCATATTGTATTGGTCCACCTTCCTGTTTTCTCTCTTTTCCCTCATACCTGCTCTCTGGGATCATAATAAGGAAATGCCACAGGGGCCCCCGCTTTTGACTCCTCATTCCAGGGAATCCAGTCCGGGACAGCCCGGGTCCATCTGATTCCAAAACTCATGCCCAGGAGCTGAGTTCTAGAACTTTTACGTCTGAACCTTCAGGATAGGCTGACTGCCTCGTGAGACGCCCGTGGCCTTTGACATCTTGATGATCTAGGCTTTTCCCCTCCTGACTCCCTGCCTCAATTGTTGGTCTTTGAGCTTGCTAACCATGCTCAGTTCTTAGTCCTTTGCACTTATTTTCTCTTTGGAGAATGCTGCTGTCTTCTCTCTTCCTTCTCTATTCCTTTCCTGGCTAACTCTGACTCAGCTGTTAGAATTCAACAGCAAGGCCTTTCCTGATTGCCCTGTTCCCACTGTCCTCAGCCTGGACTAGGTCTCTGATTTGTGTACCTTACTCTGATGTTCCTGCTTATATATCATCTGCCCTCCCTGAGTCCCCAACCCATTGGAGGCTGGGGTCGTGTCCCATTTATACCTCTGTCCTTAATGTGAGCATGGGGCCTACCCCTGAGTCTCAGCTAAGCCAAGGTAGTGGCAAGTTGCCAAGGGGTGTTTCCAGGTGGCCCTGGGCTCCACTCCTGATCCAATATATAGTCATGGACTTCTGAGCCTATCACCTAACAGCCCTGAGCCTTGGTTTCCTTATCACTAAAAAAGAAAAACAACAACAACAACAACACAGTAGCTATGAGGTAGGACTCTGGTAAGGATTAAAGGATGTAAACAGATATTGAATTTAGTGAGACATAAATAAATGTAAGCTACTGTTTTCAGCAATAAAGTAATTTATTATTCCATCCAAAAAGGTAGGAAAGTGATTGGGAGTGGGGGGGGAAGGCTAGACTACCGGTCACTTAGGCCCACACATAGATTTACTGAGTGCCTTCAAGTTTTAGGGGCTCCTGGGGCCCTCCCCAGGTTCCAAAAGTTTACACACTGTCAGTCCACACACCTTTACAGAACACCCCCATGTGCTAGGCACTGCAGGCTTTGGAAATGGTAAGACTCAGTGCCTGTCCCCGGTGAGTTCAAAGTCTAGCAAGCCAACAGCATCCAAGTCTGCGCTCTTCATCATGACCATGTTCTCTCCCATCCTCAGGACACGTGCATACACTTCTTCAACACAGTATTCACTGTGCAGGTACCATGTGTCAAGGCTTATATAAACGGCAGGAACATAGCAGTGAATTTAAATTTTGATCTTTTGAAGCTTATCCACACTGGGAAAGACAGACAAAAACTTACAAAGAAAAAAATAGCTAAGAGAGAAAAGTCAATGTTCAACCAGCAGACAAGAGAATTCTGGGAAAAGACATCTGACTCTGCAAAGGTGTGGAGGCGTGGAGTGCATGGCATAATCAGAGACCTGTTCATAGGAGACATGACAGCACAGAGCAGGGGAGGGAAATGGGTGAGGCTGGAGGGACAGAGAGCCAGGACTGTCCTGCTGATCAGGGTTCTTTCCCATCACAGAAATCCAAACACTGAGGTGAAATGGAAGTGGGCTTGTGTGGCAAAGCCTGGGTATTGGCAAAAAATGATTTGGCTCTAGAGAAACCAGAGCCAAGATTAAAGACATCTTATTGTAAATATAGAATTTCCCTGTGTGGTAAGGAACACTATCATTGATAAGTCTGGCATTATTTATTTCCTCAAATATTTATTTCCTTATTTATTAGAAATAAGTTTCTAATAACTTGAAATGAAAGGATAATTAAAATAAATAAAAAAGAAATCCCAGGGACCACAGATTGGTCTTGCTTGGGTCATGTGATCTTGCTGGATCACCAATCACAGTGCCCATCTGATGGAGAAATCTGATTGGCTCAGCATAGGTTACCTGTGATCTCTATCTGTGGTGGGGTCAAGATATGTTTGCAAAAGAAAGATATGAAAGCATCCTGTCCAGACCCAAACCAAATAGTAGCCCCAAAACCTTGAATGCTGTGCTAAGGAGTTTGGGTTGCATCTCAGGGGGAAAAATCATTTTCAGGTTTTAAGCAGGGAGATGAAATGGTCAGTTGTGTGTTTAGAAAGAGCACCCCAGGCACAGGGTGGAGAGATGGGTGAGTGCTTGGGGTAAACAGGAATCTGGAAGAGGCTTTGTGATGCTAATGACACCTTTGGCCTAACAGGGCCGTGCACAGGTTGCTGGGAGTGTGGGTGGATGAGGAGAGAACAAAGAGAGTTGGTTGATGTTCCCATCCAGGTTCCAGCTGGAGACAGAGGAGAAAGCTCTGGCCACTGCTCTGTGCAAATTGTTGCCAAGGTGAATTGTAAGGTCTTTCAAGAAGCCATTCTGGTTTAGCAATTGGCCAGTATCCTAGACTTACTTATGCTTTTACTGAAGCTAAATTGCAGCAAGGTGCAGAAAAACCTGCTTTTCTGATTGGGATGATTATATTTCATTTAGCAAATATAGAGCACCCATCCTGTGCCACTTCTGAGGCTTTTTGTATGTTTAAAGATGAATAAAACAAATCTCTGCCAGGAAAAAAAAGACAGCATTAGAATCCCACGCTTATAAAAAAACACGTCGTATTTCTGCCCCTTACCTCCTTCAGTCTTTGCCATAGGCCTACATCGGAGCACAAAAGACATCCTGACCACCTTCTATCCCTAAGGGGAGAGTTCTCCCTGGTTCTGCCTGCTCTATTCTCCTAAAACCCCCATGTTCTGACTCTTTTCTCTCCCATAAGAGCTAAGGGACTCCCTTAGGCAGCTGCGGGCTGGTAAATGTTAAAGAACAGACTCTCTTAAGCAGTGCTTGCTGGTTGTCATGGTGGAAATACTTCCACTGGGGCTGATTTCAAGCTGTCAGTGTGATGTCACTGAGTACAGAACAGGAGAGAGTTATGCGTGTAAGGTCTACGGAGTCTGGGGTTCAAGGGTCTCATCAGCCAGGACACAGCCCGAGCTCTGGGGAGGAGAGTGAGAGCCATCCTCCTGGACTCTGTGTGTTGTATTATGGATTGAATTTTGTCCCCCACAAAAGACATATTGAACTCTAACCCCCTAACACCCCTGGATGCCACCTTATTTGGAAATGGGGTCACGGTAGATGTAATTAGTTAAGATGAGGTCATACTGAAGTAGGGTGAGTTTCTAATTCAATGCGACTGGTGTCCTTAAAAGAAGACAGCCATGTTAAGACACAGAGACACAGGAAGAAGGTTATGTGCACAGATGGAGGCAGAGACTGAAGTGGTGTGTTTCTAGGCTGAGGAAGTCCTGTGGCCCCTAGGAGCTGAAAGGATCAAGGATAGACTACACCTTAGGGGTTTTCCTGAGAGCATGGCCCTGCCAACACCTTGGTTTTAGACTTCTAGCTCTCAGACCGGGGGGACCATGTGTTTCTGTTGTTCTTCACTTACCCAGTTTATGGTCCTTGGTTACCTCTGCCCTAGGAAACTAATGGCCCTGTGTTTTCTTGTACCTCGTACCACCTGGTTGAAACATGACTGCCTTTGGGCACGATTTCAATGTGTTTGTGTTTTGTGGTGCCAGTGCTCTTTCATTCTACTTCTTACCCATTTGAATCAAATTACAGAAATCTAGTGCAATGAGCTAAAATACAGAGGAGCCTTACAGGGGTAAGAAAGGTACCATATCAGCCAGGATTAGTTGAACACATACTAGGTTTCAGGTACTATACCAGGTGTTTTTCACGTGCTGCCACATTTAATTTGATCCTCACAACAACCTCAGGACTAGGTGTGATTCTCCTCCTTTTACATATGGGGAAACAGAAGCTCCGTGATATTAGGTAACTCGCCTGAGGTCCCAGAGCTAGTTAAGCACTGAAGCGTTGTCAGGTCACGTGTGGAGACTCAGACTCTGCACAACGTCTTAGCGCTCCACCCTGTGGCCAAACTGTAGGAGTCTCAGCGGGTTACAGGTGCACAAACACCTCCGGGATTGTCCCATCTGGACCCAGACATGAGATGGGATTGCAGGATAGGGGAGGTAGATGGAGGATAGTTAGAGAAACCAGGTCAATTCAATACGTAATCCTGGATCCCCTTGGTGAGCTTATCCACAGCTAGTGGTTGTCATTTCCATGTGGCAATAATAATGGCAGGCCTACAGTGATATTATAATAAACAGCCCTAATTCCTTATGTGTATACAATGCTGAACAGCTGTAATGGATTTTCCCGTAAGTGGTTCTCATCAGCTCTCAGGCTCTTGAGCCAGACAGAGCTGGGTTCACATTCCAGCCCTGAGATTTACCGTGGGCTCATCTTGAGCAAGTTGCTTAATCATTCGTGAGTGTGAATTTATTTCCCTTACTTATATATTTTTTTACAAGGGTGTTGGAATTATTAAAGGAGGTGATGTGGAGTGGGCCCAATACATGGCTGATGTTAGAGGAGAAAGTTTACTCTTGTTCTTATGAGAAAGAAGTTTTCCTCAATGTTTCTGGCCTCCTGATCCACTACCTTCCCCGTGGAGTGTGTGGGTGGTGATTCACATTTCCTGATGGAGAGAAGAAAATCCACCAGAAGTTCTAAGCCTGGGCCTCGGCTTTCTGTTTCCCCTGGATCCGTGCTCTGCTATTGTGCGTGTGGCACCTTTGTCCCTTTCTTGTGGATTGAACTGTGTCTCCTCCAAATGGTTTGTTGGATTCCTACCCCTGATAGTTGTGAAGTTTACCTTATTTGGAAATAGAGTCTTTCAGAAGCAATCAAATTAAGATGAGGTCATGGACGGGGGGTGGGCTCTAATCCAATAGGACTGGTGTTCTTACAGGAGAGAAACACCACGTGAAGACAGAGGCACGCAGGAGAGAATGCCATGTGGTATAGCTGCAAGCCAAGGAATGCCTGGGGCTGCTGAAGAGTGGGAAGGCGGTTTTCTATCATTCTCCTGCCCTGAAGTGAATGAGAGCAGAATGGGAAATATGGAAAAGGAACAGCTAGGACAGGGGCAGGAACCCATACGTACTGAACACCTATGTCTGCATCCTCCCACTGGGGAGCTTGCAAATGTCTCATTTGCCCCGCACGCGCTGCAAGGTGAGCCTTCTTGTTCTGCTTCTCCAGATGACTGTACTTTAGTCAGAGATAATAATCACCCAGCTCAAGGACCCACAGCGAGCCAGTGGCTGAGCAAATTCCTAACAAGTCTGTCTAATTCCAATACCCGCCTCTGGTCTTTCTACTTTAGGCAAAGAAATTGAGGCCGCAGGTAGCATTTCAAACACTGATGGCCATTATCCATGGCTGTTTCGCTTGCTCGGGTAGGAGGGGGGAAGGGAGTCGTGATGGAGGCACCCAGGTGAGTTACAGAGGCGTAGTACAGCAGGGGGGTTGGGGTGACTGCCGGCGAGCCCCTCTCCCTGAGTTCCAGGGTCACCCCACCTCCACACCGACTGCTGGTTATCTTGCCATGTGGCTCTATCTCTCCAGGCGTTGGTTTCCTGGCTTGACACGTGGCAGGAATAGGAACAGGGATTATGGACCTCTTGTGCGGATGAAGTGAGCATCACATAAAAGCACTTAGAACGAGTCTGTCACGTGGTGAGCAGGACATCAGTGTTTGTTGCTGCTGTTATTTTTTTATTATACAAAATGTGACCGGGGACAGGGACCACTCTTCCCCCCAAAAAGGCCTAGTGACTATCTCTCATGCATTGCTCCTGGGATGTGTTGCTGCTCTACTCTCTACCACTGTGACTTCTAAAATCTCCGCCGAGCTGGGATATTATGTTTCTAATTAGATGACTGTCTACCGTGTTAGCTAATAGTGCCTTTCACAAGGCCATGTTTCATAGCCATTAATAAGAACACAATCTGGAAGGAAAGTGCTAACATGTAATTTGCAGTCATGACTTCCAGCACTAATTTAAACAATGACTCTGTGGTCCCTGGTGTCTCAGTCCCTGTCTGCTGGCTGTCTGAAGGGTATTGAAATGCTACATCCCGAACAGGTGTGCAGGACCCACGCCCAGCTATGCATTCTCCCAGCTGGACTTCTAGTCTCTGGGGATCTCCCTAAACTCTGAAATGAGTGTCCCAGGGTGTCCTGTGTAAGGGGCGTAAACTGTTCCTTACATCTGAGGGGCTGAGCTGAAGCAGAGAATGAATGAATCAGATGTGGTATGTTTGGGGGGCATTTCAGAATGCTTCATCCGTTTATAAATTCTTCTGACTATATTTCTAGGACAATGATGAGCAGCTCTTACTGGACCAGCCAACTGTATTGCCTTTCTCTCCTGGGACGTGCTTACCAGGAAGATGGACAAGACCCAATAGACAGAACCGGTCCAACTTGGGGAATCTGCTCATGCAGCATTATGCGTGGGGGTGGTGTGGTAATGAGGGCCTAAGGATTAGAGTTCTCTTCCTGAAAAGAAGCAGCTGGCCTTGGGGAAAGACCACACACACCTTTATGCTTCCCTGTGTCAGAACTGACAACTCTGGGAGTTAATAATGCCAAACGGAAATGTCTCTATTTAAATGGTAAAAAAAAAAAAAAAAAAAAAAAAAATCACACATCATGCAAAACTTTCTGGATATGGGGGATATGGGGAGATTAAAAAGAGATCTCCATTGGATGCATAACATGTTTGAGAGCTGATTACAATGTGAGGAGATGATAAAGGATGGAATAAGAATAAAAAAATAATTAGGGGCTCCCGAGAAAGCAAAATAGTCTACAAGGATGTGATGATCGAAAAACAAATTAATCTGTAGATTGCAAGAGATGAATTTTACACAATAGAGAGAAAATAGACAAAATGAAGTCAAAATTATCACACATATAACCTATGCAAATAGATTAGGATGCATACGCTCTCTTACACACACACCCCTAGCTTCCCATCTGGTACAATCACTCAAATGAAAGGATTATATAATCATTATTCTCTAAACACTGATCTGTGCCTTCTATTTTTTAACTTAATATATATTGTGGAAGTTTTTATATTGATAGATACCATTCCTTTTATGTCATTTTGGGACATTCTTTTGAATGGTTTTCTATTATGTAAATGTACTATAATTTATATCCACAATCAACTATTGACGAACATGTAGATGGTTTCCAGTTTAAAGTATTTTATTTTTTTATTTCTTTTTAAAGCAATGTTGCAATGAATATCTTTAGCCATATATGCTTGAGTGCATGTGTGGGTATGCCTGTAAAAAAATTTTTTTTGCAGTGGGATTTCTGAGTTAAAGGATACGTTAATAGATATTGACCTTTTGCTAAATTGACCTTCAAAGCAGTTATGCCAATTTATTCTCCCATTACCACCATGTGACTATCCATTTTTCCAAACCCTTGCTCATGTTTTGTAATTCCTTTTAATCATTGTCAATCTGACAGGTAAAAATAAAAACAACACCCTTCTGTTTTAGTTTAAGTTTATTAAATTACTGAGTGAGGTTAGGCTTCTGTTCATATCATCCTAAGCAATTTGCATTTCTTTCCCTGAATCCAGCACATAATATGCATGATAAATATTTGTCAAACAATTAAATATACTGACCACACAGTTGTTCCTTTTATTCTTCATTGGGATGAACTTGGTATAAAGTTAAATATTAACACCCTTTTATATTTGTTGCAAATACTCGTTTCCCCTTTTGCTTTTTGTCTTTTAATTGGTTTGTGGATTTTTTGGAGGGAGGCACTTGGCAACTTGGTTTTTACTTTTTAACGTAGCCTCATTTATTATTATTTTTAAAAGAATTTATAGTGTTTTAAATCTTGTTAGAGGTTTTCACTTATTCCTCTGAATAAACACAGTGCTCTTAATAGACTTCCTTTCTGCTGCTAAATATTTCTTGGGTGCTTCCCAAATTGCTCTGTGGTCCCCTTGCCTATCAATCTCTCTGCCCATAGAATGACCAGTGTTTGGAGAAGCAGGGGATTTCTAGTTGCTCAAGGAAGCCCTTCCTTTGCTGGGCACGCCTAGGTCTCGGTACCCATCACTCTAATACATGGAGGGCAGAGATGATTTTGTGTACAAGGTACTATGGGACCCCAGGGAACAAGCCGTGGAACATTCTGGGAAGTGTCCTGGGGTAAAAAGTTGCTGCTACAGAGGGTCTTAGATACCAGACTAAGAAAATTGATCTTTCTCCTGCAGGAGTTAGAGGAGGGCTCACTGGCCTCGGCACTTTCTGCAGGTACTAGATTTAGATGGATGAACAGGGATATTGCCTGTCCTCTTGCTCAGTGGGGTCTCTCTGATAAATTGCTGTTTAGACAGCTCTCTCTTTGGGGTGCTTCTCCACCTGGAACCCACTGTCCATGGTTTGGGTACATAAGGCAGACCCAGGGCTGCTCACCTTCCAGGGCACCGGCCCTGGGAAAGCAGGCTGTGGTGGGCAGACCTGCCTTTGGACGGATTCAGTGGGTCCTATGGGCACCTACACGTCAGTCTTCCAGTGGGAGCTGCGGCCGCTCTCTGTCCAGCACACTTCTCCTCGCCCTTCTTTTATTATCAGTCCCCATTCCCCTCATGTTATTCTTCACCCAGAAGGGCCGATGATTCCATGTAGGTTAGGAATTGGAACCTTGACTGGAAAACCTGCAGCCACCCCGGGCTCTTGGCTCCATCCACTGTGAAGACGTTGTTTGTTATGAGAGCTCTCCCATTGCTTGGGTGCCTGAGCATGTTCCCTGTTCCTGTGCTCCCAAAGCCTGAGATTGTTCAGGCCTCCCAGTCCTACAGGCTTCCCTAGGGTTTATCCAATAAGCGCTTTCCTCCCTTTGTTGAAATTAGTCAGATCCTGTCGGGTGTGCTCCACACACTGTGGCAGAAAGAAGAGCTTACTGATTGTTGGCTTGTTGTACAGAGGTGTGGGGCCCATGCGCCGACTTCTCTAAGCGCAAAAGTCTCTGCATTGTCTTTCCTGCTAACTTGAGGCCATGGCAGCCTTTTAGGGATTCTTGATCGGTCACACGGCTAGGAAGACAGGGCCTCCTTATTGGATGAGAAAATGGAGGCCCCTGGAGGGTCATGGAACCGTTAGAACTCAAGAGTCCATGACAACTGTGGGCAATTTTTGTAAGCCATACCATGGTGATTCTGCCGGGCTGGCTGTGAGCTGGTGCTCCGGACCTTTGCTCGTTTCCTGGAGGCTGAGCCAGGCCACTCTGTCATCTGTTCATGATTACAGGGCCCAGCGTGCCCCACCAAGGGCCCTCTGGCGTCTTTCCTCTTTGGAAACACATTCAGCACATTTTTAGAAACCGCAATGAGAAGCCCTCCCTGAGAAAGTGACTAAACACTGCTTAATATTCTGAAAACATAAACAGCCGCGGAGAAGCCAGTCCTAAGCAGCTTAAGGAAAGCTGACTTGGCACCGGGGGAAGCCAGCTGTTGCTGGCATTTGATTGGCGGAGGTCGTAAAATTCCTTGCAATGTCAGTATTGTCAATAAATATATATCAGGTTGGTTCTCCATCTTCCATGCCAGAGCATTCTGGTTGGATTTGTGCCCTTCTGGCCATTTTGGAGAGATGCAGATCAATGCTCCCTTCCCCCGCTTCTCTCCCAGCGCTTGGGTTATGGGTTGAATTGTGTGTCCTCCAAAGGTATGTTGAAATCCTAATCCCCAGGACCTCAGAATGTGACCTTATTTGAAATAAGGTCGTTGCAGATGTAGTTAGTCAAGACGAGGTCATTCTGGAGAAGGATGCGCTGTAATCCAATATAACTGCTGTCCTTATAGGAAGAGGAGAGGGAGACGCACAGGACAAATGCTATGGTTTGTGATGACAAAAGCAGAGACTGGAGTGACGTGACTGCAAGCCACAGCCTGCCAAAGAGCGACGGCCACCACCCGATGCCAGGAAGAGGCAAGGAAGGGTTCTCCCTTCTGCAGGTTTCAGAGAAAGCATAGCTCTGCTGACACCATGACTTTGGACTTTTTGCTTCCATAACTGTGAGACCATCCATTTTTCCTTTTCTAAGTCGCCCAGTCTGCGGTGCTTTGGTACAGCAGCCCGAGGCAACGGGCACACTACAGTTCTCACCACCTCCCTATAGCAGGCTGAACCTCCTGCCCCCACGCTTCCACTCACTGGGTAGGCGAGCGTTCATTAGGCACCAGCTCCGTTCTAGATCCAGCACTGGGCACGGGGAGTGCAGCGGCCGCCGGGCACAGTTCCCCGCTTCAGGGAGTTCAGAAGCTGGGCGTGGGGTAGGCACGGACCTGTCAACAGGCATATCCGAGTCTGACTTAGGTTCTTAGAATTTACTGTTTTTCACTCACTGGAACTTTGTGTGTGTGTCTATGTGCTGGCTTTTTCCTCACATTGCTGTAAACCCCTCAAAAGCTAACTTTTTATCTATTGTTTTATCAAAAAAAATTTTAATTACATAAATATTAAAAAAGCACATTGATCACCCTTTAACCCATTGCCTAGATTCATTGATGGTAAACATTTTGCCATATTTGGTTTTAAAGAGTGTAATCGTATGTTTTTATATCTTACAGGTTGAATGTTGTGTTACGCGGAAGTAGGAAGGCTGGAACTCACCTCCCTGAACTCCAATCCTGGCTTCACCAATCCAGCTTTGTGTCTTTAGGCAGGTTGTGACCCTCCTGTTTGCCTCAGTTTCCTCATCTGTAAAATGGGAATAATAACATCCCTCCTCTGCCCAAGGGGATGGTATAAGTAATAAATGCATTCATATTTGAAAAATGCTTAAGACGATGCCTTTCAAAATGTAAACATTCAATAACTATTAGCTCTTTAAATAATTATTTTCCACAGTTCTTAGAAAATGGCGGGTATCTTACTCTCGCAAGCGAGGCTGGGGTTGTCCTTGTGCATGTGTGTCATGGGGGGCCTTGCCCTCCTTTGATTCATTCTCCAGTTTGTCCTTCTCTAGGGCATGTACTCTATTCATAATAACCAAAAACTGGACACAGCCCCATGTCCATGACCTGGTGAACAGGGAAACAAACTGTGATATATTTGTTTAATCAGTTAATACTCAGCAAAAAAGGAAGGTATTAGTGATACGGGAAACAACATGCGTAAATCGCAAAATGTTATGCACATGTTTTAAAGAAGCTAGAAGCAAATGGCTGCATATTGTATAATTCTGTTTATATGAAATTAATTACAAAAGAGACAAAGCTACGGTGACAGAAAGCAGGTCACCAGTTATTAGTGGCTGTGGGTGGAGCAGGGGACTGACCGCAAAGGGACATGTGGTTGTTCTCTGGAGCAATGGAAATGTCCTAAATTGTAAGCATAGCGGTAGTTACATGACTGTGGTAATTTGGCAAAATTCATCTAATTTTAAACTTCATATTGATGTAGTTTATTATATTTAAATTATACCTAAAACTAAGTGAAAAAGTTAACATAGTATGATATGGCTTATTGTGTGTTTCCTCCCCTAGAATCTAGAATATAAGCTTCTTGAGGTCAATGTTTAAAACTGGTATGCTTGGCATGTAATAGACTATCAATATTTATTGAAGAAATATATGTCCATGTTTTTGATAATAGCTTTGAACTCAGGTATTCCTGTGATGGAATCTAATAGTCACCCACCATTTACTATCTGTACCAACATGGACAATATATTTTATATCTTTACGCTTTGGTGTTCCCATTTATAATGTTAGGATTAAAAATAGAATTTCCTTCATAGAGTTATTATGAAAATTGAACTACACACTATCTGGCATGTAGTGAGTACACAGTATGTCAAACAAATATTTCATTATTTTATATGACTTTGTTTTACCTTAATTGCCTCTGACTATTATTATTATTGTACCTTTTTTTTTTTTGAGATCAGAGACTTTGCATTTATTTTTGTGTTGTTATTCTTGCTTGAAAGTCCTGGCATACAGTAAGTCCTCACTGAATGTTGCTGAATACAGGAAGCCCTCACTTAACCTTGCTGATAGATCTTGCAAGTTTAAGTGAAACAATGCATAATGTATAACAAAACCAAGGCTACCAATTGATATAATTGGTATATGCAATTGATATAAAGAAGAGTTAGGTTTCTAGGCACCTCTTCAATGTTATAACAAAGTGACATTAAATGAAACAACATTATTCAAGGACCTGTTGTATGACCTGATTTCTTAAGTGTTCAAGATCCATCTTCCTCATGCCTGGGGCTACTTATACGTCCAGTCACCCTTTTTGGGGAATGTCACCCACCTGTCCCATATACACGCACACCCACGCATACACCTACAAATTATGTTTGTACTCATTGTTGAGGTTTAACAACCCTCTCACAGTAAAAACTGTCCCTGACTTCTGAGAAGAGACCAGATTACCTTATTATGTGCTCTCAAAGTACACAATACCTTTCCTTCACAACACTCACCAAGATGTGCAGTGATACACTTGCATGGGTTGTGTAAGCTTCCCCAAACCTGGGTCCACTTAATTCATTACCATTTCTTGACTGGGAGAAGGAAGTAGAAAAGAAAGAAGGCAGTGAGCTGGTGTTATCTACCAGGTAGGGAAAGGTTCCTTTTTGGGGAGGGGGGTGGTGTATTTTACTTTATCTTGTTTATTAAATTCTAACTAATTTTACATTTAAGTATCAGGCATGGCCTGAATTCCAGGTGGTTCAACAGCATTCACCAGGTGGGATGGGAATCACTGGCTCCCCAGTGCCATGAGTGAGCTGACTTAGCAGGGGCTATGTTTGAGAATGGTGCCTGGCAGGGAACTATGAAGACTGCTTTTCCAACTCATCCTCTTGCTCCGGAATTGGAGTTGCTCCTCTCTATGCTTAGAAGACAGCCCAAATCCCTTAGGCTGGTGTCTAAAGCCTTTTCTGATGTGGCCCACAGGCATTTTTCCTGCTTTTGCTTAAATATTCTCCTTCCCTCTTTTCAAAGAGGTCTTTGTCCCATTTCTTTCCTGTATATGCTCAAGGCTCAATTCTTGAGGTTCAACAACTCTCTTTGAAACATATTCTGATTTTCGTATATTAAAAGATTCCTTCTTATTGTTCACAGAGCTGCCCTCAAAATAGAATCTACTAAGATATCTGATGCATAGTAGACATTGAACAAAGTTGGCTTGCAATCACACATCTTGACTATCTCTTGTGATCCATATGGAGCCACAAGAATTTTAGCACATTTCTTTTATCTTTAGTCAACAAGATGTATGAACATATGCTAGACAATGTGGATGGTCCTAAAGGGATAAAGGTGAAGAAAATGCAGTCATTTTCTTTAAAGAACTTGCAACCAGTTGAGGAGATGACCTAACAAATGGAGGACTACAGCACCACACAGACAATGCTATGCCAAGAGGAACTCAGCCTCCTGAGCCAGCACTTCAGAGGACAGATGGGTGGGGGTAGGGGCGGGTCAAGGGAGATGAAGATGCTGCCATCTTTCTCGATCCTGTTGGCTCTTCCAGAAGATAACTCCTTTGTTCCAGTGGGAAATACCAGCACAGCTTTTTATAGGGTACAGAGAATAAGCATTAGCACATTCCAAGTCCCCTGCAGGTTGAGAGGACACTTTCTTCATCACCATAACAGCTCTTTGAGGAAGAAGATACTATTATCTTCATTTTACCCATGAGAAAAATAGAGGTTAGGAAAGATCAGCTAACTTTGGAGAGGACACACAATGGGTGAGTGTGGACCCCAACAAGAGGCAAAATAAAACAAACAACCCCTAAATTCCTGCTTATGGTAACATGGTCACTATAACAACTAGCCTCTAATAATCATTTTTTTTAAACCCAGTAATGGAATGATTATTCCATTATAGTGATGATGAGAGTAATAGCATTACCTGCTAATCAGGATACCTGCTTTCAATCTTGATGGAGAACCTTACCTAAATCTCCTTCATACAGCCCATTTTCCAGATGAGGATGCTAAACTCAGATGTGAAGCAGCTTCTCCAAGATACCAACCAAGAAGGAGCAGAGCTGGGTGCAAATGGAGGTCTTTGATCCCTGGTTTAACACTCATTCCTCCAAGCAGCACGACCTCTGAAGCTTGGTTGTTGATAGTCAAGTTACACTTATCACTATTTTCCCATTTGTCCAACACAGTTGTATTTTAATCACATGATCAGTATAGAGATTAACACAACCAAACATTGACTTGTTCTTCACTTGGCTTCCTTGGGAAGATTATCTGGAAGGATGCTGGCTCAACACAAAATTTTTGGAGACCTAGAAGAGTCAGTGTAAATAGTATATACAAGCTATTATTTTTAATTTTTTTTACAAGAAGCTGAATTGGTATATAGCAACTGATTAGTAACCTTGAGAATGAAAATGTCAGGTCTCTGATATAAATATTAGCCAGCAGACCTCAATTTGTTTTTGATAAGGATCAATAGTCACATGTAAGTCAAAGGAAAGATACCTCTGACACCGAACATCTCCTCTAAATATCAAGATCTATTTAAACAAGGCATTTTGAAACACAGGCAGTGTAATTAATAATCCATTATATAAGTAACATTTGCTCATTTTAACTCCTGGGAACTTTAATTGTGTCTCTTCTATTGTAAAGAACACAAACCTGTTTCTCAGGTAATGGTTTGGAGTTGACGTTCTTAGAAATCCTAGGGCCTGTGATGACTCAGTGCTCAGGTGGAGGCAGCAAAGGAGGAAAAGTCTGGCAGGATGCCCACCAAGAGGGGGGTGGCGGGCATGGCCTCTGCGAGCTCTGGCGCTGGGATGAAATCCTGGAATCCAAACTCCTTTCTCCTCTGCTCAACAACTTTTCACTCTTATGCTTTTGCTTTTGGAGAGTGTTCAGGTATTGTTATGGGTCACTAGGTTGTCCATGAGAGGGGCTTTTCTTACCTTTTCAGATACATCTGCTCTCACTGTATTCTTCTGCCTCCTACACTTTGGCTATGTTCAATTCCCTGGATTCCCAGGATATTTCATGCTCTCACCTGCCTTCAGGATTTTACCCAGCTGATGCTGTCTGAAATTATTTTCTTTCTTCCTTGCTTCAAAATTTCACTCACCCTTTGGGGCTGGTTCTAGCGTCCCCTGCCTGGGAAACCTTCTCTCACCTCTGATGCCCATTTCCACCCTACCTGTCCCTTTTGGGCTGTGTTAGTGTCTCTTCCGATCAGTCAAGGCACGTGGGGTTTAGCACAGTTACCTGTACCTGGAAGAACCACTCCTCTCTGGGAAAGCCGCCTCCTCTGCAGCTTGGACAGAGGGATGTATGGCCAGCCCTTCTGTGTCTAGAAACAGCAGGAAGACAATCTTCAGAAGAAGTGATCTCAGAGAGTAAAAGAAAAACAACAACAACATTAAAACTATTTGGAACTCTTTCAAATGTGTTTCTACTGGCCTATCACAAGTTAAGCCTCAGTCGCTGGATGCAGATCGCTCTGTGCTGAGCCTTGTTTCTCATAAATCAGTAAAGACCCAGGACATAGCCTGAAGGCACATAGTCTTTGCTCTCCGTCATATTGGAAGATGCTACAACCAAGGAGCTGTTACAACTGTGCAGATATCATTGCTGTTAGGAAGATGTTCTCCTTACTTAAGGCGGATTTCGATGGCATTGTGTTTGAGAATTGGTGCTTATCCCTGGAAAAGGTATGAGTGTCCTTCTTTTCTGGATCTAACATCTTTCATTTGAGGATTGAGAAGAATGAGGGGGCGATGTCGCACCTTACTCAGGAGAAGGGGATTCAAAGAGGCTGAACTGCCGTGAGGAATGTTGAGGGCCAGAGGTGATCTTGGAAAAACATGCTGAAACTTTGGACTGAAGTATGTGGACTTTGAAAAATATGCTGCCAGGAGAAGGCTATGTGGCCTAGAATGCCTGGAGATGGGGCCAAGGGGACAGGCACTGTCCGGGTGTAGATCCATGTGAAGACCAACCCTTGT